TGAGGACCATTGTCTTTCTGTATCGTTCCAAACCCATTTGCTTGGAAAATCAAAATAAGTCAATGAACTTGCAGAACGGTATCGTTGATTACACTTCATCCATTAAGTTAATTTCATTTGTGAAACAACTTTGCTTTCCAAAAGTTTAACCAAACACTTATTTGGACTGAAAATAACTGTTTGTTCCTTCTCTAAGTGGAATGGCAATCTTTCAGCAGCCGATTCTCTATAATACATGTCAAACTGAAATATCCTCCAACAAGCTTCCATGGAAGAGATATATCTATAATGTTTTTGATTGAATTAATTAATATCATATTTATAACAAATATCAACAAACAATATAGAAAAAATATATTTGATGTATGTTGTACATACCTGCAATCCAGATAAGCTTTTATTCCATCTCTCTCCTTTAAAATCTTGCATTGATTATTCTCTTAACCGTTGTTTTCAATTTCCATAGAAACTGTTATTCTGTTCGGCCTTTTGTTGACATACTTGAATAGATACTTGATTGATCTATGTTGATTACATATTTCAATATTCATGTGAGCATCAAACTTAACCACAAGATCCCTATTAGAAGGAACATCAAAACGGTTATCCAGTTTGATACCCTTTTTCTTAACAAATGCTTCATTATTTCGTCTTCTATACATTGGATATCCGTCGTCATCCACAAATGTTTGATTGACTAATTTCTTTGGAAAATGTTTTTTACATTTGCCTTTCTCCATGCATGGTGAATTCTTGTTAACATCACCATATAGACCATGGATCATGTGGTTCTCGATAGCTGCAAAAGCAACAAGATAACTTTCCTTATTTGGTATTTCAGTAAAAACTATTTCATCTATTTTCAATGCCAAATGATTCTTATATTCGGGTTGTAGAAAAACCAATATTTGAGCATGTGGGAGGCCTCTCTTTTGGAACTCGATAATGTAGATAACTGACAAAAAAATCATAACGTGCTCAGCAATAGTTGGTATAGTATAATTTCATATTATAAATTATCAATGAACCACAATTTTTAAAGAAAGTAGAAATATTATTCATTAGATTACTTACTTACCATGGTTTCACCAAAATATTTTTGTTTTTTTTATCTCTTGCATCAGCTCAAGCAATTCAATCTCAAAAACTCTGCAAACTGTAGTTACTCTACCTTCTTGATCACATTGTCCAATACAATTTTGTAGATATTGTATTTCTAGCCATTTGGGATTACAGGTGAACATCAGAAAAATATATGGATATCCAAAATATTTGTAAATCCCCATTGCATCTTGATAATTCTGAACATAGTATCGGGGACAACCAATGTGAGATGAAGGTAGCAACGTAGATTTATCTAGATGTTATGCATTAACATCAACTTTTGAAATGGCATCCATCAATCCACTGTACAGATCACTCCTTAATTTTTTTCTGATTATTTTTAATCCAACGAAATCTTTCCGCTTCAACAGCCATATATGCATCTATAATATATTGCTGTAATAATCTGCCAAATCTCATCAGAGTATGCCCTTCATATAATCTATACTGCAATCAAAATGCATAATATTCTCTCATGCTTAGGATGTTTCCCTTTGAAGACTTTTTGTCGGGAAACTCCTTATGGTTAATGTCAATTATGTATCCATCTTCTCCATATGGGAATAATATTGGATAACTTAACGTCATAAAGCTTGGATGCAAGTCAGAAATCCTTTGAAGACCCATTTTTGAATGATGAACGATGACATCTTTTCTAATTTTTTAAATTCCAATATCACCAACAATTAAACCTACAATTTCAGATGCAGTTGAAAATTGTAATGTCTTCCATCTTTTTCCCTTTTCATTTTTAACCGCAAATGCATATTTGTAATATTATTCAATGCATATGATTCCTGACAAAGCAAAAACTTTTAACCAATTCATTGTTCAAATAAACATCAATTGCAATTCTTGCACTAATTCCTTGTCAAGAGTATCGTCACCTGTATTACCTCATATAGGATTTAATCTGTGATTGGTTTCGTACTTTGTGTCATAAATATAAAGCAGCGCAAACTGAGGTTTCCTTCCTTCAAGTGGAAGCAACGTCCCTATTCGGTGGTAATTCTACCGACAAAGTTTGAAAACATATGGGCCACCCCCTTGGTTAATCTCATGGTCAACATGCCCTCCCATTGATGTAAATGAGAACAATGAATTGTATATCCTTATCTTGCCTTTGAAACTAATCCCTTTATTACCACTGACTACATCCAATAAACCTTTTAATGGTTTTGGCAGTTCTTTCAATAACAGTAACTAAACTTTGCCATCAATACAACATAATGAAAACAAAGGATTGGTTGGCTTTTGGTTCTTAACAGTTTGCTCTTCATACCACATAACTGATCCACAATGAATGCACTTGTAGGATGGTTCACTAAAGTTCTAGGGCTCTTTTTCCACTGTGCAAAGAAATAATGTGATATTTTTAGAAAGTAATAAAGTTAATACTTAGATGTGTACTGTTAATTTGGAAACTCACAATGATATTCTATTATCCAAGTAACTTTAATATTTGTGTTAACATTTAAACATATCTAACTAACAATATGATATTTGTTACCTCTTTCTGTTGAGCGAGATTTTGAACCTCTATTTGTCTTTGATAAAGATTTCTTTTGTTTTTTCAATGTGTGACTTGGAAATGAAAACAATAAAAAAAAGATTATCAAGATATTCAATGACACTTGCAATTTAAAAATTGTTCAGCAAAGTTCTACACCTTTATTTTCACGATGCAATGAAATAATATTATGTTTTTAAAATATAACAAACTGAATGTTTAGATGTAAGTTGTCGAATTCAAAACTCACGATTGTATTGTTTTGCATCAGTAACTAGAATATTAGAATCAAGCTTTGCACATGGAGAAACACTTGAAAAACATACATTTGGTAAGCCAATTTAATTAATGATAGTCTAGAAAACATAGGTAACCACTGATATGATATTTTTTACCTCTCTTCATTTTGAATTTAGCCGTTCTTTATGTTCTATTTTCCTCACATATCTCATTTACATTTATAGAAGCATTTAGAGAACTTGTTGAACCGTTCTTTGTCTTTGATACACACTGTTTCTACTTTCTAGATGTCTCACCTGGATTTCAAAATAATAATAATACGATTAAGACATTATGCAATAAATTATATCATCAAAAAGCATAACCAAAAGGCAAAAACAATAATTAAATATCTCATTTATATTTATAGAAGCATTTAAAGAAATTGTTGAACCTTACTGTCTTCGATACACATTGTTTTTGCTTTTTAGATGCCTCACCTAGAATTCAAAATAATAATAATAATATGATTGAGATTATATTACACAACAAATTATATCGTCAAAAAAAAAAAAAAAAAAAACAATAATTAATTCATTCAACAACTATTTCATAACTGTCAAAAAAATATTGACAACCATGTAATATACAAAATAATTATATGACTATACCAAAATAAAGAAGCTAGTTACTTTCTTTTCAAACTTTATTATGGATCATTTAGCTCTGAGCTTCATATGTCAATACACCAATTTATAGTTGGCAGATAACTAAAACAAACTAACACAATAAAGATATAGATTGAATTAAATGTCTTTTTTTCCTTTTGGAGATAGACTTTCTGATTAGCTTTGGAAACCTAGGTCTTTTTTGGTTCAATATAAACATTCTCAATTTTCTATTCTCCTTCCATACTTCTGTTCTCAAATCAACGATACTCATTTTTCTAGAATCATATTCCAATATGTATTTTTCAATCACTTGCAAATATAATTCCTGAACATGTGACTATATAGCTACTGCATCTTGATCTATAATAACTATCTTACAATTTTGTACCTAACCAAAACAAAAAATTTATTCTATTAATTCCAATTTCTTTTTTTACCTTTTCCGAGTCCAGGTTATTATAATTGTATGCAAAAATTAAAAACAAATGATTTACTATAGTTTTTTATATAAATTTATGGATCGACAAATATTTTATTATAACTTTATAGCATGGAATATTATGGTTTTGCAGCAAGATTTTAATTGAAATAGAGCTTCATTTGTTACAGCCATGCATAAACAATGGCTCGACAACACTACAAGAAAAATGGCATTTAGTGTCTATCGAAAATAGACATTGTTTATTGCATCTAAAATTCCTAGTCGCCAACTAGTTGCAATATCGCTGTTGTAGAAAGTATCCGCGACTAAAATCATGGTTAGACGCCAAAACTTTTTCTTTTGCAACCAACAATTTAGTTATTAATTGCCTCGAAAAATAGTCCCCTAAATTAGACGTCGAATGAATACGGGTAATTTGGTAAAATTTCATCGCAACTATTGATTTAATCGCAGAATGTAGCTTTTAGTGACTAAAAAATGGATAATAATTCCCAAAAAAATAGATGTTAAATGCTTAAGGGTAATTTGGTAAAAGCATTTTGCAACTACTTTTTCAATTGCAAAATGCCCTTTTTAGTGACTAAAAACTTTAGTTGTAATTGCCAAAAATTTTAATCGGTGAATGTTGGACCAAAATATAGTAATTTCCTTTCCACAACCATTAAATTAGTTTCAGAAAGTGTGTTTTAATGACTAAATTATCAATGGCGAAAACAGCTCAATTTCAGTTGCTAAAAGTGTTTGGCCAATTTGCTTTCTCTGATTTTACAACTAATCATTTGGTTAGGAAAATGGATTTTTCTACATCTAAGTGGTTTAGTTGCCCATAGTTTATGAGATTTAGAAACTAATTTTTTTGTTAGTAATAATTGATTAGTCCAGGATTGTTTATTATTGCTGTCACTAAAACTCTAGTGGTAAATAGGATTACATTTAAGAGCAATGTTGTTGCCCCTTGTAATTCACCTGGTGAACACATTTACTATCAACAAAATAAGAGAGAGACAATACAAAAATGTGGATCAACAACATCAATTATCTTCATTGCATAAAAAGTCAATAGTCCATACATGGATTTTTTAGCAACATGAGCAATAAAATTCCAAAAATGCACTATCATGTGTGCATAAAGCTAAAACAAAAATGCATAACCCAATCAGTTCGGTCACCTTTTGGAGCTTTACCTCGGTGGAAAGCCAGAGTCTTTATCATCCCCACAGCTTCACTATTGTAGTGAACAGGCCTATCCTTTCCTGTGGTCTTCCAATACCCAAAGTCAGTAGCACAATTCGTTCTGAACAAGTCTATAGAAGTTCATTTACATAGCAACAAAAGTTCATTTCAAATAATTGAAAATAGAAACCTAGAGGAGTTTCATTTCTAACAAGTCTACAGAAGTTCAATTACATAGCAACAGTATTTGCAATAAGCAATTAGATTTTGGTTTGCCGCCTAGATCCCACGTTACAGAATTATAAAGACATTCAAGTAGTAGAAAACATCGAAACAAAGCATATGTCATAAGCATTATATTAGAAAAATATTATTTCATTTAAATTTCAGAAGTTATTAAAGTAGATTTCACAATTAAAATATGACATGCATGAATCATGAGGAAAATATTTAAAATGAAAAAGCACTTATTAAAGAAGTTGACCTTGGGCAAACTTTCACGCATTTCATCAAGCAACCATCTGCACATGTGAGTCATAAAAATATCAATTAACACTAGAAGTTTTAGAAAATGTGAAAACCATTTTAATAGATGCATACAAAGTGACCCATCCAGGTATATACAAAAAATGAAGGAGCATCCAAGTATTATATTTATTTTTCGTGCAAATATATGCTTTATCAATGCTAGAAGATGGAGGGATAATTAACAAGCATATGAACCATACAGAAACATACCTATAGTCAAAAGAAGGAAAAAACTTATGAAGGGTATTCACAATCAGCTCCATAGTGGCATGATCTGCAGCCGCAGTATCGGTCATGTGTGTATGCTGAACCTGAATATTGGGGAAATAATTTTGACATAGAAAGCAATTAAGAAACATTCTAGTCCTATATTTGTGCATAATTTGCATGGAAACTTGGACTTTGGTTAGCATACTAAATGAGCTTTGAGGTAAAAATAACAGTGAAATAAAACCTTAAAAGCAACTTTTTGCTATCATGCGTACGAGCAACATGAACTTGTGCAAGGGAAGCACTTTCTATAGGAACAAGATCAAATTCTTCAAAAACCTGCACATAAAGACTTAAACATCAGCGAGCGCATATGTCTCCATTGGGAACAACTATATGACCACTCAACATGAGAATTTGTGCATAAATCTCATAAGCACCAATATCACTTATAAATAATTCATGAAAAAATAAATAAATTATTGGCTTTTAAAAAGCAAGCCAGATTCATGAAAAAATGCACATCCTTGGTATAGAAACCAAAGTTGGACAAACAGTAGGAACAAGTAGACAATGTGGATGATGGTCCAGAGCATACAATTAGTTTTATATCTGATACGTAAACTTGTTGAACATGTAAAATTATGTGTTCATTTTAACATCATACCATAATATATACTTCAACAATTCGGGTACAGTGATACGAAATAGGATTCTAAATTAATAATGTCATTTAACTTTTGATTTAAAAAAAAAAAGGTTATTCTCTACAAGCTACCACTAGTGTACGAAATTGGCAAGAAAGAACTCATCACCTTTGCAAAAATCAGTGGAAACAACATCGATAGCTATCTTTATCTTCTCACCATACCCTATTCTGCTGGTAGCCTCTTTAATAAAGTCCAATCCTTCTTTCACGCTGCCAACAGGAATTTGACATAATAAAAAAAACGAACAACCCTCTAATCAAAGTTTACTAGTATTATGCATGACTTTATATGTTGAATTTAAAACTTAAACAACCATAAATAACAGGAAAGTAAAAAGGAAGCAAAAGAACAAATATACTTTACATATGAGTAGAAGACAATAAGAAGATTAAGAAACTTACTCCCATTGTAGTGGTGAACCCCAACTTTAGCCAACATTGCATAGTACTCTATCTCAAACTTCCGAAAAGGAGGGCGGTTGTTGGCAATGATAACCAGCTTTGCTGCAACCCAAAAAAGAAAAAGAAAAAAAATGGTTCATTTAACAAATCCGCAAAAAATGAAATATTCCCATAACAAAGACTAGATCCATTCAGAACCCCATAATTTCTAAGTTCTCATGAAAACAGGGTCACAACCTAACAACTAAAACACAATTATTTTTCTGGGTCCACAGCTAAGAGTCATTTTAGTTCATAAAAGCAGCTAAAAATACAGAGATAATATAATCATCAATACATGAAATAAAACAAAAAACAAAGTTAATATGTTAGGTTACCTTTGGAGCTTCTTAGGGTGTGAAGCACAATTTTGTAACCCAAAGTGTACTTGCCACTCTTCATGACAAGAGCAAGCCTGCTGTTGATACTCTCATGGGACTTCTTCTACAAGAGTTAGCCATAATCAACTTATTTCTCTTCTTTAATTGAGATTGAAAAAGGAATAAAGAAGAAAATAAAGAAGAAAGAAGAGAGACAGAAAAGGAGATGAGTTATAGTCTTCTTGGCGGCCACCATTGTGTTAAGGCACTAGGATTCTCACAAAACAGCTTCAAAGAAAAGCGAAGAGCTGTCTCAATGAATTTCCCTACAATTTCCCTAACTCCAAAATCTTAACATTCAATCAAAACCATCAAATTAAACACCAAAATCAACCGAATTTTTTTTAAATCGACAAATTTTCTCCCATTACGATCTCTAAATTTAAAAACAAAAGAATGAGAAAGAGGCGAACGAACCACATTGCGAAGAGGTGGAGAATCAGAGGGAAATTGATCGTGAAGAAGAGAATTGATCTTGGGGACAGAATCTTCAAATATATGTTTCTCTCCGAGCTATTTTTGTAATTCTTCCAATTGTTTCCGATAATTGATCGGATTGGGGAGTTTGATCCGAAGGATCGAGGAGAGTTGGATCCATCGAAGTCGAAGGATTTCTTGGAAGAGAAGAAGAGTTTGTTCTTGAACACCATTGTTACAGTTAATTAGAGAGTGATTTTAAGAAGCCCTAGCATGTTAGAGATGTCGGGCTGCTGAAAGAAACATTGAAGAAGACGAAAAGAGAATAAAGGGAAATTTTTGAAAAATGGGTTGGAAATTTTGCCTTGAATGAAAAATGGGTGGGGAATTTTGCCTTAACGAAAATTGGGGAGAAAATTTTGCCTCGGTGAAACTTTTGATGGGTGGGAAATTTTGCCTTTGTGAAATTTTTAATTTTTGTTTTTTCAACTTAATCCTTTGACAGTTTTAACTATCAGCGATTGAGACTACAACTATATGATGAGTCCCTTGAAATTCACGTAACTATTTATATATGTATTTATAAATACCATGAATTTTACATCAACATTTATAAGATCAGATTCATCTCAATTACAGTTTATTAAGAGCAATACATTAATGAGCAAATTAAAATTTACAAAATACAGCATCAGGAAATTAATAGTTCGATATATCTTTATATTTTAAAATCTTTATATATATTTTTTAAACAATAATGAAACCATGAAGTTCATAATTAATTATAGTCGTTAAATTATTAAATATATTTGTTACTGCTTTAACGAATACAATAAGTTTTTTATCAAATGTAATTAAGTTTGGAGTTGGACATTTTTCGGTTGATTAAAATGTTGCCGTTTAACATGTTCATCGTCTTTAAAAGCAAATTGGGGATTAAGGGCATTTTTTCCGTTGACTTTGTAATCAGAGTTGTACTTCAAAATCTTTCATATGTATCAACAAACTGAATTAGAATACTTTATTGACCACGTTGATTGTTTTTATCGGCTCACATTGCTATTCAATTCTGTGCTTACCTGTATTAACCAACAATTTGTGGGTAAGTTCAATTTTTCCTACTGGGTTTTACTTATATTTCATTTTTTGTCTGACTATGTCGATTATAGAAATTCCTAGCATGGTTACCTGTGATGATCTTTTGAATTTTCGAAGATATTACAATATCTTTGATGATTTTGATTTGTTGCCATGTGATGGTTTTAATTTTTTTATAAATTCAAGCCGCCTGGGTTTTTTACGTTTTTTGAAACTGTTTTACGATGTGGTCTTGCTTCTTTCTCTCCATTTCTCGAAGAAGTTATGATTTCTTATAATGTTATGGCCTGCCAACTCTATCCCAATGCTTGGAAAATAGTTTTAGGTTTTGAAGCTCTGTGTTTGATGCATGACATTGTACCCATGTTTTATATTTTTAACTACTTTTATGTATTGAAAAAGAGGGTGAATAGTCCGTTTTATTTTATCGAGGGTAGGAAGGCGTGATGATTGTTAACAGGCTTGTCCAGTAAAGTACGAGGACAGAATGATAGATATTTTTTATTGGCTTGTAGAAAAGGATGGGGTGGATTATCCACTAAATGGACAAAAGCTACAATACCCCACAATGATTTTGATAAAATAGATGTGAATGAATCTGGCATCAAGACATTGGAGAATTTTATTCATAATCAACAAACACTTGATCTTTTCGATATGTTGGAGAAATACTCGGTGTTTCAATTCAAAAGAGGTATTGCAATTATTTATATGATCGATTTTCATTTATCTATTAACTGTTTCTTACATAGTTTTTTTTCTTTTTTTTTTTTTTTTTTTTTTAGCTTCCCCAAATTCAACAACTTCAATATCAACTTCTATGACCAAATTGATTGATCCTATTTCTCCGGGACCATCTACATTCGAAATCGAAGATAAAGATGAAGATATATAAGAGCTGCCATTGATTACGCGAAGCAAGCATAAAAAAGCATGTAACGAAGAAGGTGGAATTTCAATTCCTCGCAACAGTTTAAAGACAATGTGTGAAAAAGATCTTGAAGAGCTTACATAAGATCAAGTGAACTCTGTGATTTAAAATTGTTAAATTTGGTGTACTTTTAGTTTATTCAAAATTTTTATATTATTTTTGTTGTTGTTGACATGTTTTCCAGGTAGGGATTTCTGGCTTATTCGGAAATTGGGAGGCGATGGCTGGTCTTTGATAAGGTGATTGCAAATTTGGAAACAAACAAAAAAAGATTTGTTGTTCACAGGGAAAAAATTACGGTGGAAAAGATGGATTTAGAAAAATAGTTGGTAGAAGCAGTGAATAAGTTAAAGGTTAATAAGGAGAAATGATCAGTTATTGAACAATCATGTTCAAATGCGAAGTTAGAAAACAATGTTCTTGAAAGAAAGGATAAAGAATTGTTGGACTCCAATAGCAAGCTAAAATCTACCCTTGTTGTAGTTGAAAAGGAAAGAGATAAAACTTCTAACATGTTCTTGAATACTTGAGAAGCCTGTTGTAATGCATTTAAGTCGAGATTTTCAGATGAAGATTTTAGTTTCTTAGATAATTTGATTTTGCAAGATGAAGAGACAAACTCTATTATTACTAATGCTTCGTATGATGTTCCTCATCCATGATGCATCGTATCTGATAAGACTTGTGCAAACTAATTTTCATAATTTTTATTGTCAATGTTAATATATTAGATATGTTGTAAAAATGTTTCCAAATATATTATTACCAAACTGTGTGTGGAGTTATTCTAACTGCTATATTTGATTAATGTCTGGTTCACTCTTAAGAACATTGATTTAGGTTGTTTTAGCAAATATTGAATACTGCTATTGCCATATTGCGAACCAATTGTTTAACCAACACAAAATAATTTCAAAGAGTTAATGAAAAAAAACAATTTATATGAGAACAAAGATTTATTTAATATATTTAATATCAAAATACATGTCTGCAATGCTTTATATATTTATCAAGGTGCAACCAATGGTGTAGGTCTAGGTTCTGTACCCTTATGATCAGAAGTTTTCGATTCTTCTTTTTCGAGATCGACCAAATACTCCCATGTATTAAGATTAGCAATAATAAGCATAACATCGTTCACAATTTCAAACAAAGCATGAATCATATCGTTGCATTTTTGTCTTGGACCATTTAGATTTTCTAAGTTACTGTGAACATTGGGTAGTATTTCTTTGAACTCTAGTTGTCTGTCACCCATTGTCACACCAACAGGTTTAAAAAATCAATGAATTTCACTAAATATTTAAACATGCTAGAAATATAAATTGCATTACAACTGTATATATATATAAATAATAGGATAATATAAAGTTGAATCTCAAATAAATAAGTCAACAAATGACAGAGAATTTATAACATTTTTTATTTAGTTTTATATTACACAAAATTTGTATTACCTCCTCTCTTGACGGTTTCCCATTCCAAGTCGCTCTTCATCTATAGAAAGCAAATCATCCTTTGCTGAAGAGTGACTTGGAATGGGAAAGTGTCTTTGCTTTGAGATCTGAAACAACAACAACTATAGAATTCAAGACGTCGATTAGCAATTGCATGGCTTCTTTGATTTTTGTTCTAGCAGTATTTATATTGGTAACACTATGGTCGATGTCGTTCAGATTCTGTTTCAAGTATGCTTTTTCTTCATCCATTGTCGAACCAATTAAAGGTAAAAGTGATAATAAAAGTCTACAAACGTATGAAAATTATACGAATAGAAGTTGGGATTGATACTTATAGAGACATACAGTTTGGAAAACAACTTAAATAAGAAAAGAAAACGAACTTATGGAAATCAAATAGACATGTCCTATTAAATGAATACAACGATTGAAGAACCCCAAAATATCAAAAACCCAACCGGGGTGATATGTACTAGCTCGAAATGTTGCATTGGTTTAACAGATGATTACATTTGGAAAACCAACAGAGAAATGCTAATAAATAAGTATATTGATAAAAAAAACAAATTTGGATAATTTCAAAGGAAACAATAATATATATTTTGTTGAATTCATAATAGTAAGGAAACAATGGTAATAACTGGACTGATTAATCAATTGTATGTCAAAGTAATTTTTTATTTTAATTTGGTTGATGGTTTTATATTAATTAGGTAAATAATGTATTAAATTACTAATAACATTTTAATTTTTCATTCAACTTATGTTTGGCCAGTTGACTTATTTCAATTAAAAATATTCCACCTAATTTTTGCAATATCTAACAATAATGTTGTTCGGGGTATTCCTAAAAAAATTAATATTATTTTATTAAAAAGTACACCTGCTATTTCTGTAACGCCCCGCTTGAGGTACGTTGTTATTGTTTCCTCTTTCGCCCTTAATCGAGTTGGTTTTTGTTATATTTGTTTGTTTGAATGTTATGTTGATTGTTGCCCTGAAATTGGTTGAAAATAGAAGAATTTGAGTGTACCAAGCTTCGCCGGGGCGAAGAAGAATCTTCGCCGCGGCGAAGATGGGTTGAACCAAGGGTGAAACTCTCTGGACAGTTTCGCCGCGGNTTTGTTTTTGGTAGTAGTTTCATATGTTTGTTTCTGTAATCTATCGTGAAATTTTGTTTAATGTTATAGTATACAGTTGTCTTTGATGGGCATTCCAACCAATTGAAGTTATTTCTATGTAATTATAACACCTGTACACAAATTTGAATCAAGCATTATCAAAAATGAAAACCTACATTTACCATTCAAAAGAAATCAATACTTGAAGGGTCACAAAAAGGGAAGAAACAAAAAATAACTTGTTACAACAATTTTTAGAGAGAAATTTCTTGTTTCAGAATTTACATGTTTGAGATAACGATGCTTTTCTTTATGTTTTTTTTTTTTTACTGGTTGTTTTTCTCGTTAATATATTTCAATTTCTTATTTGATCTGTTTTATTATGCAATCTTAGTAGAATGGAAAAAATGAATCACAAAATGATGACAAGACTTCAAGGAACGGTTATGGAAACTAAACAGAAGAAAGTTGGTAGACCTCCTGGTAGGCGCTCTGCAAGACTTCAAGGAACAGTTGCAGAAACTCACAATGATGACATTTAGCATGTGATAGAATTGGTGGTTTTCACTGACAGCAACCAGCAGATAAAAGAGCCTGAACCAAGTAATACAATTGAAAATTTGAAAGCAAAGGTTGACCATTTGATACACGTAATCAAAAATCAGCAAACCAGATACAAAGATCTGTACTTTGAATCCCAGAAGAAGGTATAGAGATTCTGGTAGAATATCATTTGCTTTTTTTAGATGATTTAAAACGCTATATCTATTTAAGCGTTGTTAATGATCTTAATGATTTTCTTTTCACTCAAATTTAGGTTGAAACCTTA